GAGATCATCTCAAAGGAAGGAAATTTGAACGGGCCGAACCCAGCGAAGACACGGAGGTGATCTATCTTGATGAACCGGCCTGCACCAAGTCATTGCGCATCGGACGAAACATAGGCGAGCCCATCCGGTCCAAGTTAATTGCCTTTTTGATCGAAAACGCAGACGTCTTTGCCTGGACGCATGAAGATATGGTGGGGATCGATCCAAACTTAGCGTGTCATAGCCTTCGGGTTGACCGAACGGTGAAACCGATCGTGCAGAAAAGGAGGAAGCTGGGACCGGAGCGACAAGAAGCACTCGAGGGCGAGGTGATAAAGCTGATTGACAACCGGTTTGTACGCGAGGCTAAGTACCCGGTTTGGGTATCCAATCCGGTTCTGGTAAAGAAGAATAGCAGGACATGGCAATTATGCGTCGACTTCAGCGATCTCAACCAGGCCTGTCCCAAGGACAGTTATCCGTTGCCCAACATCGATTACATGGTGGATGCGACGTCCGGACACGAACTCATGAGCTTCATGGACGCCTACTCGGGGTACCACCAGATCCCAATGGACCCAAACAATGAGGAGCACACATCTTTCTATTCGACTAGAGGACTCTACTGCTACACCATGATGCCATTCGGTCTCAAGAATGCCGGCGCAACCTACCAGAGACTCGTGAATAAGATGTTTGCAGATCAGATCGGATGAACCATGGAGGTTTACATGGATGATATGCTTGTTAAATATGTTTTTGTGAACGATCATGTAGCCCATCTTAATGAAATGTTTTCTATTTTGCGCGATTACTCTATGGTGTTAAATCCCAAAAAATGTACGTTTGGGGTAGGTTCGGGTAAGTTTTTAGGGTACATTGTTAGTCAAAGGGGAATCGAAGCAAACCCCGACAAGATTAAAGCGATACTCGAACTAAAACCCCCTAGGTCAATAAAGGAAACACAAAGTCTAACGGGTAGATTAGCAGCTTTAAAACGATTCATATCAAAGTCCACGAACAAATGTAAGCCCTTCTTCGAGGCTAGTAAAAAGAATAAGAAATTTGAATGGACGGACGAATTCCAACATGCGCTGGACTACATCAAGGAGTCGCTCATTCGACCCCCCGTCCTCCAAAAGCGGACCCCGGGAGAGATGTTGTATCTATGCCTCGGAGTAACCCCGACCGCGATAAGCGCCGTACTCGTTCGGGAGGAGAATTTGAACCAACATCCGATCTATTACACAAGCAAGGCATTACATGAAGCCGAGGTCTGTGACCCGCAGATCGAGAAGTTAATCTTCGCCTTGGTGACGGCTTCAAGAAAACTCAGGCCATATTTCCTTGAACACCGGGTGACCGTCTTGTCAGCCTATCCTATTCGACAAATTCTCCACAAGCCAAATACGTCGGGACGAATGATCAAGTG